TTAACACTAGACACTGGTCCAGAGTTGACGAGCCTGCCTTAAAACCAGCCTGCTCTTTACCAGGTAGACCTTTTGACAGCATCCATTCTTCCAATTTAATAAGCAGAGATTTGGCATAGATTTTACTTATACATGGTAACAAACTTATAGGCCTGTAATTCTCTTGGCAATTCCTATCACCTTTTTTAAAGATCGGTACCACTATTGAGTTGTTCCACGATTTAGGTACGAGGGCTGAGTGATAGATAGAATTAAAAAGCGGCACAAGTTTAATGGCCCACCAATCAACATCTAATCTCAACAGGTCTATTGGAATGCCATCCATACCAGGTGACTTCCCTTGCTTAAACGAGAAAATTATCCTTTTCATCTCCTCAACAGTAATTTGAAATTGTGTGGTTTTTGCCAGAGAAAATTTAAAATTTTCCTTTTTACAAACTTGGTGATCATAAAAAACAGCAGTAAAATGTGAAATCCAAGCCTCATCGCTTATATTAGGGAAATCAGTGATATCTTTTATTGAGAGAAGTGACCAAAAAGTTTTGGTATCTTTAACTTCTAATGCAGTAACAATTTTAGACCATTTGGCTAATGCAAACTCAGATTTTTTTCCCAGGAGCATGTTCTTAAATGCACTTTTCATTTCAAAATAAGTCTTCCAGAGACCTTGAGAGTTGGTAATATAGGCTTCTTTTAGACAAGTTCTAAGTTCTTTCTTATAGTTAATACAATCTTTATCAAACCAGTTATACTTATTTAAAGGTTTGCTGCTGAACTGAGGGTCTAAAAAAGAAGAAAATAATTCCTGGATGGTCTTATAATAACAATCATTGTCCTCCAAGGGCATCAAATTTTGGTTAGCCACAGGTTCGAGCATAAGTGGGTTATTTTCAAATACTGCTAATAGATCCTCCCTATTTTTATCACTTATATAAATTCTTTTGGCATAAATGGTCTTATCAATACTAATAAGAGGACAGATATCATTATTTCTAGGGTTCCTGTACATCTCTAAAACTATTGGGAAGTGGTCACTTTCTGAGCGAGGAACAACTGTAAAAGAGGCAACTTCATTTAACATTTCAACGGAGACTAAAGAATAGTCGATTACGCTCCTACCCCTTTTGGAGCTGAAAGTAAAATTTCCTGGAATATCCGGCCACATTGAGCCATTCAAGAATGAGAGATTAAATTCTAAAACCAATTGTAAAAGTTTTCCTCCCGCCTTATTAATAATGATGTCCTTTGAATTCCTCCCTATTCTCAATGGAAGTGGGGCATCTTCAGCTAGATTTGAGACATAGCGTTTATAGAGAGCTGTATTGTCTGATCCAATTCGAGCATTGGTGTCTCCCATTACAATCAGGGGGATATTTGGAGATTTCCTACGTATTAAATACAACTCTTCCGAGACTATATTCCAACCATAATCTGGTCTAGTTTCCAACTCTACGGGAGGAAAATATATATTTAAAAGAAGAATTTCCCTGTAAACAATGGAAAATGATAACAATTGTGCATACTGTCCAATATTTCTGATATAATTAATTTTAAGGTTAGAAGACTGTTTAATACCACAGATCAAACCGGCTTTAGGGCGACCTTTTGTTGACATTTTAGTAGCGGGTAGATTATAAGTAATAAAATTAGGAATATTTAAAGGTTTAAGAGACCATGTTTCCTGCAAAAGTATTATATCATAAGACTCAAGAAAATTTATAAAATCAGAATCAGCTAATTTACATGAGAGTCCAGCTACATTCCAGGACATAATAGAAAGATTTTGGAGAGATCTTTGATTTAAGGGTGCTAGTGAGGTATGCGTGGTGCATTCCGGATGTCACACCAAGTTCCTCTGGTTCTTACTATTAGCCCTTTCAGCGGGTTCAGATAGTTCAGATGCTAATTCAATGATGTTTAAAGATGTATTCAATATGCTCACATTTGAGGAGGGTGGAATGCTAGGGTTGCAACCTGGCGCACCCATGCTGGGCACTTTATTTGGGGAGCCCAATTCAATCTCATTTAATTCTCTCATTTTATCCCATGCTAATGTAGTGACCAGGTTTGCCTCTGGGATGGATTGTATACGAGCTGGGTTATGGGAGGGGCGTTTTGGCTCCAAGATCTGAGAGGATGGATTCATCTCCACAACAGCCAATTGGCCTGGGGTAACGGAGGGTTTCCCGATCCATAAACCCAGCTCATGACGATAGAAGCATGAAGCCTGATCTGGGACATAATCAGATATGTTTTGGTTGTGTGGTCCCGGTTGGTCCTTTGTCAGATTTGTCAGACAAGAACGAAGGTTATCCAATCTATCAAGTATTTTGTTCTGAGTTTCTTGGGGGAGAGCGCAGTAGGAGTAAACTAAGTTATTTTCAAAACTTTCGAACCCGTTACCTTGGCTCGCCTCATATAAAGTCCCGGGAGAGTCTGGTCTTTGAAGATCATTAGTAAGTAACTCTGGGTGGTGAGTAGGTGAGTCCTCAGTGGCTTTTATATCAATTAAAGTGTGGTATTCGGCCTTTTGTTGAGGTGCTGCAGTCGAGGTTGCAGAGCTGGGTAATAGTGGGATAGGAGAGACCTCATTTTTAAAGTACCTTGATATTTTTACACCACTTGTCTTTAGATGTTCTCTGTGTTTATATATCAGTTTTGCCAATCTCCGATCATGGAATGTGACCACCGCCCTGGCAAGCAAGCCATCAAAATATAGATATTCCACTTGGTCCAACTCCGAGGGATTACTCAAAGTACCTGGCATGTATGCCTTAAGGAAGTTCAGTAGATGGACTTTGCGATCCTCTTGAGATAAAAATCCTGGAGGCTTAGGATAGCTTGAAAAAACAAGCTTGTTTTGAAGCAACACCAGCTTCCAGTTCTTATTTGTTGGAATGCTCTCCTTCTTGGATTTGGAGTTGTCTATGGTTAAAACGTAGGACCATGGATCTTGGGGCAATAAATCATGCTTTGAGCTTGGTGGTGGAGCAAGCGCTGAAGGTTTTAGACAATCCAAAGCTTTATCAGCACAGACGTTTGGGGACAAATCCTGTTTAACTGACTTCTTGGCTAAAGACTTCACCAGGTTCCCTCTAGTCCCAGAGGCTGATGTGCTCTCGAGTAGGTTAAAAAGCTTTTTAAAAACCATTTTTTTATAATGCACTGTCTTAAGATTTTTTATGTTTTTACTTTTTTTAACATTTTTTACAACTATGGATCTCCTTTTATAAGCATTAGCTCTGCAGGCTTTCTTACCCTTCCTTAATGGGCCACTCCTACAGAGGGTGGAAGCGATGCCATGATTACTTTCCGATTCTGCAGGCACTCCGACGGGTTTTCTCCAGAGAGTTTTACAGGAGTCAGCCATGATGGTAAGAATTTTTGTGCAACTGTCCAAGTAGGACTTTATGGATTCAATGTCCTCGGTAAGGAGCACTAGCCATTTGATGATTGAGAGCCCTTCTTCATTTGTCTCGTGGGAATGAAGATAAGAGTCTTTCGAATGTTTAATATTTCCCGAGGCCAATTCCGAAATTTGTTTTAACATAAGTTCCTCCCTTTTTTGATCTAACGATGGTTCGGGGGGAACTTGGGATTTGTCTATCCGTTTCGGGGATGTTTCATCGGCTGTATTGAGGATATTTTGTGTTGCTTCCAATATATTCAAGCTTTTATCGCTGCTTTTAGTACACTCCTTTCTTTGCATATCCAGTCCTTCACTATGGCTGTAAGAGAGATTGGTAGGAGAGAGTAGAATTTCTCTTCCCTTCTTGTTCTTGTTCTCATTCATTTCAGTCGTTTCCTCATTTGTTCCACATTTTGCTCTGTTCATGTAGAAATGAGTGATTTGTGTTTGTGCTTTCTTTTGAGTGGTTCTTTTAAAGGTGGGTCTTACAGCCTTCAGAGAAAAGCCTGAGGTTTTGCAGCCACTCCTGGTCATCACCATTGTTTCTTTAAAGTTGTAAATTATTTCTTTGTTGTTGTAAAAAACACGCTACGATGCATTGACTGAGATAAATAGACAGGAGGTATTTGTAAAAGAGAAGAAAGACAACGTGGTGGAGAAGCAGGGGTGAGTTTACTTCTTCAATTGCTGCAGAGTGATTACTGCAGAGGCTCTAGTACTCCCCCGGCAACAATCAAGAGGCTCAAAAAAAAAAAAAACCCACTTTAAAATATATATACATATATCTTCCTTCAGGGTCTCAATACCTTAAAACTTTGAGTTAAAAACTTAATTAAACTGGACTAGGATCATTAGTTCCGTCGCAGGGCTCTCCGCAAGGCAGTTTTAGGTAAAAGGGAGAGGTTCCAAGGCCTCTCCAGGCCCTTATCCATCCTTATTTCTTGAGAGAGATGACAGCCAAGTTCATGCCCAGCTGGTTCCGCCATCAAAAGCGGCAAGTTTCCCACGAGGAGAGGAAGCAACGCAGAATCAGGCCACACCATTTCACTGGCAAAGGTGAGAAGGGAAGAACCTTGCTGCCCAGTGATGTCACAAGCATTCCTGGTTACCTAGGCCACGGCAGGAGCTCCTGGTTGGCCTTTCATGCCGCTTCCCCTTGATACCCCACCAAAGCAGTGGTCCAGCAAACAGAATAAAGTGAGGATTCAAAAGAACCCAGGAACTTCCTTTATCTGTACAGCCTGCTAATGGTTCCTCCTTTAGACCGACCCCGTGCCCAAAGCCTCAGCAAGGAAGATGAGGGGGCATGCAGCCACACAGGTGTCCCTGTTTGCTCTTGGTGAGTGAGACCGTTTATCTGCCCAAGCCTTGGCCAACCTAGGGCTCTCCAGATGTTTTAGACTACAACTCCCATCAGCCCCAGCCAGGCACCGACTGGGGCTGATGGGAATGCTGCCTAGGGCTGATCTACACATTTCCTTACTCCATGAACCTACAGTGTAGAGACAGGGCCACAGAATCCTTCAGTCAACATCGTCCCCTGTGGCCAAGGATGCTCCGGGGCTTAAAAAAAACCAGCGCTGGCATTCAAAGCACAGCAGCCCAAGTTGTGGGATCTATGCCTTGCAAGCTTGATACACATTATAGAGGCTTAAGCCAAGGCTCACTCCTTTGCCTCTTTTGTTTGGTCTGCGCAGTACTCTCAAAATGGCTCCTCGCTGCAGCAGACACACAGATACAAGAGCCATCGCTAGCTGGAATGCCACTCTCAGATGCCGAATATGAGCACTTCTTTAGCATCCTTCATAGCCCTCGTCGAATCCGTGCTGTTTGCTTCTTAAGAGCCATGTATGGCTGCCAGAATTCCTTGATCCGGGCACTGGACCAGTATGAAAACCATGGAGTCGTTCCTGAAGGTAAACCATAAGAATGACAGGGTTGTCTCAGCTTTTCTGTAAACTGATTGGGACTAGCCTTGGGGAAATCCCAGCTCTTAGATCGTAACAAAGCTCCTCGCAAGACTTCAGCTCCTCTGAAACCTTCACTAAAATAACTTTTGCCAAACCTAACTGGCAGTCTTGTTTTGGACGTGTTTAAAATAAAATATGGGAGGAGCCACACTTGCATCAGCGCCTACTGCAGAGATAGCCAATGTGGAGCCCTACAGAGATTGTTGCATATCCTCCAACATTTCTCCGATGAAAATAGGAACTTCTTCTTCTTCTTCTTCTTCTTCTTCTTCTTCTTCTTCTTCTTCTTCTTCTTCTTCTTCTTCTTATTCCCCACCCATTTGACTGCCACTCTGGACAGCTTCCAACATATATAAAAACATAATTAAACATTAAACATTTAAAAAACCACTTCCCTATACAGGGCTGCCTTTATGCAGTTACTTATCTCCTTGGCTCCGGAGTCCCATAACTCTGTACCTGGCAACATTAAATTTTGGATAAATTAAAATGATGGGGCGACCGCCACAGATGGTCTTTTTGGAAAGTAGGGCTGCTGCTTGCCCACTGCTCAGACCCCAGCAAGGTGGCAGAGCCAGGCTGGACTGATGAGGAGCCCTTCTGAGTCACCAGTCAGCAACTGCTGGCACTGATAACTGATAACAGTGCTGATCTCCAAGTTGCAACTGCAATTAATTTAATGTTTGGTCATGCCAAAGGGGTCAGCACCCAGATGAAAAGAGACCCCTACTGCACACCCCTCTTTCAGATTCCCAACAGTGGGCATGGACCATAGGAGCCAACACCTTGGGGCCAAAGTCCCTTTGGTCCCCTAATAAAATATTTGAGGGGGCTGCCCCCCAGTTGATGGGCATTGCCATTCAAATGGTGTGCATGTGTCATCCTGTGATCGATTATGTGGGGCTCACCTGCCCTCCCTCCATATTTTATTCAAGTTGGCACCCCTGGTGCAGACCATGATGATACAATCACTATTACAGTGAAGCTGTGGTAGGCAGTGTCTCCTAACTGAGATCAAATGGAAGGAGTGAGCAGGGATAGATCATCTGCTCTTCTCTAACTCTCAGCCTCTCTCTCTCCTAGGGCGGGTGTGCTCTGACTTGGAAGAACATTCAACTTTCCCAGATTTTTGTAACCTTGCTTTTTATCGCTGCGCCTTGAGGAAGTACTATGTGAAGGTGAGGGAAAGAGGCGAGCCTGGGAAATCTATTAGGAAGAAAGGATAGCCCAAGAAAACAAGGAGCTATGGCAGAGGTAGATAAAAAAAGAAGGGGAGAGCCTTTCAAGGAAAGTAGGTTTGATCCCACTATAACTTAGGTCTCACTGAATACACCATTCATTCGCTCTGCACATAACACTTAACCATAGTTAGAAACCATGGTTTAATTGGATTGTCTGAACCAGACTTGGTGGCTTCACCAAGGTTTGTTAACCATGAACCTGCTCATAAGTCATGGTCTGTTCTTGGTTATCAATCTTGCCATATGTGAACAATGGCTGCCAGTCAGTTTGTGGACAGTACTGAGCTGGCGGACCAGTAGTCTGACTCAGTATGAGGTTATATACATGTTATACCTTTAAAACACCTTTTCCCCTCAGAGAAATCTGGGCACTGGGCTTTGTTAACAGTTGCTGGGAATCATAAATACATGAGAGTTAAAATACAGAGCACAGAATTCTTTGAGGGAAAGGAAGCACTTTTAAAGTGTCATGTTTACACAACCTAAGGAAGGGAGCTTTGTCTGTTCCTAGGCCTTGTGCTCCCTAAAGTAGTTGGCTCCCCTCAGCTGTGGTGGAGGATGTGACCCCATCTCTACTGTTGTTGTTAAGGTGTAAGGTGAGCTTCTGTATGTGGAATGAGAAGGGTGCCATCTCTGCCCCAGGCCTCGAGAGGAAGGGGTGGTGGTGATTGTAAAAAGGATGTTTAGTTTTAATGTGGGTCAGTTCAATCTGTTTCTGAAAGCTTCAGATGTGAGGTTTTCCCTTTTGGCCTAACCCCTTGGGGAAGGGATGCAGCTCTGCAATAGAGCACAAGGTCTTGCATTCAGAAGGTCCCAGGCTCAACCCTCCATGTCTCCAGGAAAACTACTGCCAGTCAGTGTAGACTGTACTGAGCTAGATAGGCCAACACCAGACATTTAAAGCACAAAGCTCCTTACTCCCGAAGAATCCTGGGAACTGTAGTTTCTTAAGTGTGCTCTGTGAGGGGGGGAACTAGAGCTCCCAACAAATTTGCTTAAAATGTAAGGGGTATACGCAGCCTCGTTCAAAAGAAAGGCAGAGAACTGATAGCTTTGATGAGCTGTAGCACCCCAGAGGAAGATTTCTGTTTCCGTTTTGCATGCTGATTTTATTTTTCTGTTTAGAGGGTTCCGTGCCCAGGTGACAGGAACAAAGCAAGGACATTTTTACAGATCATCAGCCCCCCGACAGAACCTGATGAGATTGTGCAATCATCTATAGAAGAAGCTTTGACTAACCTGCTCAGGGCCTCTCCTGCAGCTTCCATGACCACCCCAGAGTTGTTTCCTGAGCTTCTCACAGCCGTGTCGCCCTCTACGACAGATGCTGCTAAGTTCTTTTCTGAGCTTCTCCGCGCCCCTGCTGCTCTGGCTGCCACAGAGTTGGCTCCTGAGCGCCTCACTGTCACTTCTGACAAAGCTACTACAGAGCCCTTGCCTGACATTTTAGAAGAGCTTTCCCATGTGTCCTCTACAACCACCATTGCAACTAAATCCCCATTGGAACTTATCGAAGAGTCTTCTCTCGAGAACCTCGCCCAAAGTGTTGCCACCATCGCATCAGAATCTTTGCTGGAGCCTCTTGTCACTACCTCTGACCCAACCACTGCAAAGTCCTTTACCGAGCCCCCCATGGCCACGCCCACCTCTGCCACAGAGACCACTCCTGCATTTCTCACCACCACTGATGCTGTTGCCACTGCAGAGTCCATTTCCAAGATGACTTCTGCCCCAACCACTACAGAGCTCTTGTCTGGAGTGCTTTCAGGGTCTTCTCCTGAGCCTCCTGTATCCACTGCTACCTCAACTGCTGCAGAACCCTTGCCTCAGCTCCTCAGCGCCTCTCCTCCAGTCTCAGCCAGTGGGAGTTTTCCTGAACCTCTCACCACCACTGTGGCAACGTCCACAGAGTCTTCTCTTCAGTACAACTCTACCTCTGCTGCCACGGAACTTCAAGAATTTGTTGATGAGCTCTCCACCTCCACCCCTTCCCCCTCCTCCACCCCCTCCCCCACTTCCACCACTTCCCCCACCACTTCCCCCACCCCCTCCCCCACCCCTTCCCCCTCCTCCACCCCCTCCCCCACCTCCACCCCTTCCCCCACCTCCTCCCCCACCTCCACCCCCTCCCCCACCTCCACCCCTTCCCCCTCCTCCACCCCTTCCCCCACCTCCACCCCCTCCTCCACCCCTTCCCCCACCTCCACCCCTTCCCCCTCCCCCACCTCCATTACTACTCACTCTGCCTCAAACGCTACTGAATCTCCCCCTACACTGGACACCACCACTGAACTCTCCACCTTCACAGAATCCTCTCCTGATCTTGCCACCACAGGATCTAAAGCCACGACTGCAGCATCCTTTTCCACGAGCCCTTCTGCCACAGAAAGTAATATAACCACTGCTGCTCCCGACAATACTAGTGTTGCCACAACTACAGAGCGCTCTTCTAAGCCTCCTAACAGCACAGTCACCACTGCTGCGGAAAGTTCTGCCACACACCCCACTACTACCACCACTGCTGCATCAACAACTACCTCTGCCAAAGCTCTGTGCCTCTGTGTCTCCGAATCTCCCACCTTGCCCAAAGAGGCCACCACCACCACCAAAGCGCCCATGGCTATCACGTCCTCCACAATCACGACTTCTCCCCAACCGCTTGTCTCAACGCCCTCTGTTGCCCAGAAAGAGACTCCCCAGTCCAGCTCAAGCAAGCCCACTGTCATCACCCCGACTTCCACGGAGCAGCAGAAAGCTAAGCCTGAGGATGTGGTCGGGACCTCAACTCTGCTGCCGACTGCAACAAGCCCCGTTGTTGTCACGCAACAGGAGAAGATCCCCAAGCCCCAAGTGTACCTTCAACCTACTGCCAGCTTGGCGGAACTCTTCTTCCGAGTGCAGGATAGGAAAGTGGAGCAGCTGATGCAAGCAATGCGGGATCTGCTGACCAAAAGGAGAAGAGAGCAGCTGCGGCCCACATCTTCACAACCGCTGAAGACACTGACTCATGCCAGCAGGCAGAAGACGACTAAGCAGTCGCCAAAGCTCAAGGACAGACTTCAAAGATGAAGGCATGCAGTCTCTTTGGTGTCAAAGAAACAAAGTCCAATGGACAGGCTCCAGTCTGGCATTCTGGAGGTGGAACTCCTCTAGGGCTGTCTCCATAACGGGTTGCAGCTCATCCGAGTCAGCTCTGAAGTCTTCCTTAAAGCAGATTCCCCATTAACTTGAGGCAAGACTGGGGACCAAACTGATAAAGGCTTAGATTTTGGAGTTTTGAGAAGACAACGGTGCGGATGGGGGTTTGGAATTCTGTGAACTTGCCCTGGGGCGTTCCCGGTTTCAGCCTAATTTCCGTGGAATGAAGAATTTCTCTCATTAACAGGCCTTCTTTAAGTTGGAAGGTGGCTGGTCCCTGAACAGAGGAGAAAGCAGGGAAATGACTTGTTCTCCTCATTTGGGTTTCCAGACAGGACAATAAATAAATGCGGTGTTTTGCAGAAAGGGTTGGAGGTCACTTCATGGGATCTAGAGGACACTACATGGGCCACCTGCAAAGTAGATTAATTTCCCCCTTGCATATGGAAGAACTGCATGTCTTATGTTCCTCACAACCTAGTGCATGATCAGCCAACATGACAGGGAGGAGAGAGAAGGGAAACTCCTCCTGTAGCTGATTGTCACCTTTGTTGCTGCTCCCGCTCAACTGACAAAGGGAAGGGTGCAGAAGGTTGTGACAACTTTGAGTAGTGGGAAGTGTCAGCCAGTGTGGTGTAGTGGTTAAGAGCGGTAGTCTCGTAATCTGATGAACCGGGTTCATGTCTCCGCTCCTCCACATGCAGCTGCTGGGTGACCTTGGGCCAGTCACACTTCTTTGAAGTCTCTCAGCCCCACTCACCTCACAGAGTGTTTGTTGTGGGGGAGGAAGGGAAAGGAGAATGTTAGCCGCTTTGAGACTCCTTAAAGGGAGTGAAAGGTGGGATATCAAATCCAAACTCTTCTTCTTCTTCTTCTTCAGCAGCGGCAGGAGTGGCCAGTGGGGAGAGATACGGCGGCAGGGAGGTCAGGGCTGCTTAGGTGCAGGAGCCTGGTCCACCAGTGTCCCCTTATAGCCCTAGTGTCCCTACTATCTCCTCCTCCTTTGTGGTAAGTATCAGCAATGCCACTGCTGGAATGCCAGGTCCACAGAGGTGCCCCTCCTTGCCAACTGCTCCTGGGCAACAGAGATGGGTCAGAATGCTTCTCTGAGCTGAAGAAGAATTCAGCTCATAAAAGTCACTTCATCCTGAGGTGGGTGTTACATGTCCTCAGTTCATTTCCAAATCTGCTCAGGAGAACTTTTGACAGTATTTTAAAAAGTAAAGACAGCTGCTTAGCAATAGAACCACCACGCTGAATCTAAGATACATGCACCTTTTTAGTGCTCATTAGGCCAGAAAGCAATGAAACAGTAAGTGGGCAGGTGAGAATTTGCATGCTATGCCTGGGAAGTTTATTCTTCAGCATTATTTCCCAAAGTCACAAATTACAAGTCCAACTTGTGTGTGTAAAGCGATGGTAATGCAGCAGGATTCTTACAGGCATCTTGATTGGCCACTGTGAGAATAGGATTTTGGATTAGATGGGCCAGTGGCCCCATCTAGCAGCCTCATCTTATTCCCTTTTTCAAACGCTGCTTGTAGACAGAGTAGATTGCTATAGCAAAATGTGTGCTCTAAGGGAGAGGAGTGTTAGTCATTGGGTCAGTAGGGTCACATCCAAGTCACAAGTTGTGTGTTTAGGGTTCAGGGAGAAATCCAATTTTGTTTGCATTTTAATGGGAAACTATCTAATTAGCACTTGAACAAATGCTTGAACCAAAACAAAAGATGCATTTGTTAGTGAAAAGAACATTCAGGGTGAACTATATTAGGGTGGCGCCTTGGGTAAAACCTCAGCGCCTAGGGCTTGCCGATCGCACGGTCGGCGGTTTGAATCTCCCGTCTCGTCTTTTGGTCCCAGCTCCTGCCCACCTAGCAGTTTGAAAGCACCCCTAAGTGCAAGTAGATAAATAGGTACCGCTTTCTAGCGGGAAGGTAAACGGCGTTTCCATGTGCTGCACTGGTGCTGGCTCGCCAGAGCAGCTTCGTCACGCTGGCCACATGACCCGGAAGTGTCTCCGGACAGCGCTGGCCCCCGGCCTCTTAAGTGAGATGGGCGCACAACCCTAGAATCGGACACGACTGGCCCGTACGGGCAGGGGTTCCTTTACCTTACCTTTTTTATATTAGGGGGAAGTGCTCGCAAATTGTGCACATTACTCAAAATAGCATACAAAAATGTGTGTTAGGAGAAATTCACACCAAAACAATGGCAAATCTTCATGAGGATGTGGAATAACTGAATTTAAGACTGAAAAAGAAAGGAAAATGGAGAGGAGCTGAAGTTGATGGATTTGTCCATCTCTTTGTGTGCCGCCTCCCCAACGTGTGCTTTGCATATGCAGTATCTCAGGTCTCATCCAGATAATTTCAAGTGATAAGAATTGTCCAAACCAAGGCACAATGAAGTGTCACCACTTATTTGCTAAGGAAGCTTTGCCAAGGAGGCAAGATTGGACATGTACATATTCCAATTAGCAGCAAATCTGAAATCTGGGAGGCACAGTTGACTTCTAATCTACAGTCTCTTTACTTATTCAAAGCACAATCCTATCGACCTGATTGTTCCTCCCTTCCGAAAAACCACAAGGCGGCAAAAGTAATCTAATTCTAGCTCAATTGCTTAGTGACCTGCATTGCTAATGCTTTAAACAAAAAAAAACTTTTATTTTTACAACTGAGTAGATTTCCTTGCAGGGCTGTGTGCCTTGGGACTACAAATGAGTCTATAAGAAGTTAAGAATAAATATTCATAGCCAATTAATAAATATTAATAGAAGTATTTGGAGATGTATTTGCTCTTGAAGGTGGAAGACAGTATGAGAGAGATCATTATATATTAGGACCCCGATGAATAAAAATAATATGGTATAAGGTACTTGTCTTCAAGTGGTGAGTTGGGGCAAGGGATGAATAGATCTGTCAACTTTCTTTCAGTTTCTCATTTTCCCAGTCTTCAGTTCTCCACACTTCCGCATCAGTTTGCAAATGAAGATTTGTCAGCATTTTAATGCATATTTCTCCTAATATATACATTTTAATGAAATTTTGCCCGATACATACATTTCTGCAAGCTATTTCCACCAATTTAATGCATTTCAGATGAGTTTTTCACTGATATACAGTGGGACCTCAGGTTACATATGCTTCAGGTTACATATGCTTCAGGTTACAGACTCAGCTAACCCAGAAATATTACCTCGGGTTAAGAACTTTGCTTCAGGATGAGAACAGAAATCGTGCTCTGTCGGCGCGGTGGCAGCTGGAGGCCCCATTAGCTAAAGTGGTGCTTCAGGTTAAGAACTGTTTCAGGTTAAGAACGGACCTCCGGAACGAATTAAGTACTTAACCAGAGGTACACTTATATAAACTTATATGTTTAAAGCAGTATCATTCTTATCACTTTATACATGACTTCCTCCCCAAAGAATCCTGGGAAATGTAGTCTGCTAAGGGTGCTGAGAGTTGTCACCCCTATTCGCCTCACAGAGCTACCGTTCCCAGAGTGGTTTAACAATCAACCCTTCTTCCCAAGAAACTTCGGGAAATGGATGGAGGAGGATGGAGAAAATTAAGTTTTGTTGGCAAGTTGAAAGTCACCAAGTTAACAAGGGTGATACACTTGGCTGGCTTCCCAAAGTGGGTGTTTTGCCCTTTCCAAATGGAAGCCACTGGTGACCACTATGCAATCCTGGCCAAACCATGGTTTAGTGCACCCAAACGGGTTCCCAGAGTGATTGCAGCTGCTTTACCCCTTCTCTGGTCCTGCTGATGAGCTATAGATCCACCACACTCAGACTGGTTCATATTGAACTTCCCCCATGCAAATGTGTTCATGGAGACATGTGGAAAATTAGTGTAAAATGGGCTGCATGTGCAGAAAACTGGCAGACATCTTGGAGCAATAGGATTCGGTTCTGGAAGAAATATGAGGTTTTCAATAGTTCTCAAGTTCTCAGTTTGGGGAGGCTAAGGTAAGGTCCTTTCAATCACTGCCATGCCCCACTGTTATTTAAATAATTGCTTCTACACACATTTTCCCTGTTTTCTCTGTAAGTGTCGCCCCAAAGTTGCAGAGTTAAATGGAAACCATGAAATGCAAAGCCCCGACTTTTTCATTATAGAACGACATTTTCGCTGAAGCCCTGCAACTTCTGGTAATATGGATTTCTGGGTATTCTCTGTGCAGGGCATCTTGTACCCTTAAGTTGGTGTACGTACTAGCTGACTCCCAGCTCCCATCTACCCCAGGCAGCATATGTAATGGTGAGGGATGATGGGAACTGTAGTCCAGAGCATCAGGTTGGCGGTAGCTAGTATGTTACATTAATAGTGAAGAATTGCTACATTTGTGCTCCTCCCCATAATGCATATGTTCATGACGATTGGCCTGTATGAGAAACAGGGCTTTTTCTGTGGTAGCCCCTTGTAAATGGAATTCTCTCTGATGGAAGATACACCAGATATGTTCCACTGGCCCTTTAGAATGACCATGAAAAAGAGCTTTTCTGCACTGTGAGTTACTAGGAGTTAAGATGACTTTTAGATATTTCCTTTTCATTGGAATCTTTGTGTTTGCTTCTGTTTGGTGATTTCTTTAAATACACTGCAGCCCTCTCAATCACACACATGAAAGCACACAATGAAAGATTCAACTGCAGCCGGCTAATTGAAAAGCAGTCTGGCAGAAGGAACTCAGACACGTTTATATTGTTTTTATATAAAATAGACATCTATATACATTTGCTTCGTTCAAAGACTTCTTTGATCATAACCTCTGTAGGCAAAATTCATAATTTGACAATGAAAATAAAGGACCTTTCAAAATCCTGTTATCACTGACATACATCCCACTGCTAAATTGTGCATTTAATTGATGGAACAAAAACAACTGATAGTTCAGAAAGGCAAAAGTGACGGAGACAAAAGACAGAGAAACACCACAGCTATGCAAAATTAACTTCTGCTTGTTGAAGTAGATTAACGGCATCCAGTTTCAGCAGAGAGATCTCCATAGAAGCCACAGCCGTGACCCAGAGACTTTTCAGAAGAAAATAATTTTCAAACAAATTCATATAAACATCACAAGGAAGTTCAGCACATATTTTCAGAGATTACCATCATCAATGGTGACACTTTTCAAACACCATTAACAGCCAAAGCAGGTTTTCTTGTTGCTGCTTGTTATTAAGTGTACATAGAAGCGGGCTGCTTACTTGATAAAACTATTGCACATCCCCCTTAAGGCAAAAAGCCCTTTAGGACTAAATTTTCACAGATGAAAAAGCAGGTGAGCAATAAGCCGAAGTGCAGTGCGATTGCAAACAAGAACCAAGATACAGAAGGACCTTGTCAGGTTCTTAAATGAATCAATCAACTTATAGGCTGTGAATCAATGAATCAATCAACTTATAGCTTCCCAGAGGTGGTATTAGGAAAACTCACACAGCCTACAACATTATGTTTGTTCTGAGTCCCACCAAGGTTGCTTGTCAAATTGATTTTGCAATTTTCATACCACTCAGTGCTAAGGGACGGATTCAGCTACCCCATTCCAGTAGTGAAAGGACTCCCAGAAGAACAATGGAACTTTCCCACCCACGCATCTCCCCTGAATCTGCTCTGGAGGTTCGTGAGAACCCCCAGGTCAGTGCACCCCCAAATGTGAGATCATTCCTTCAGGCAAGCAGAAATGCTTGTGCTGATGCGAACCATCTTCTTAGCACTACATTGAATTCCAGCCCATACCTTTGCCACAACTAGGCCCCACCCACCACCAAAAGCATAAGAAAGTGCTGGTGCTCTAGGCACATGTACATCTTGTTGCAGTTGTCATGGGCACCTATTGGTGGGAGACCTTAGCTCAAGGTCTCCATTTCAGTCCTAGGCACCTCCAGTTTTAAAAAAGGACCAGGTTGCTATGAGAGCTGAAATGCAGGTATCTCTCTAAACTTGCACGTAACTGATGCAATGCAGTTCTCCAAATGAATGATGTTTACAGAGATGCATGTATTAGGGGAAAGTGTGCATAAAAATAAATAAATATATAAGTAAAAAACAACAGAAATGAAATGTATTATGAGAAATTGCTTGCAAAAAATGTGTATTTTAGTCAAAACTGCATGCAAATTTGTGTTCGGGAGAGATACACACTAAAACGCTGAAGGAATTTTTGTGAGATTTTTTTTTTAAAGAATGAAATTAGGAAATTGCTGCAGAAAGTGGAAGAACTAAATTCAAGATTGGAAAAATAAGAAGAGGAAAGAACAGAAATTAATAGATTCCTCCATCCCTACATGGCACTCCCAGAGAGCTGCTGTCCATCAGAACAGACATACTGGGCTAGATGGAACAATGGTCTGAAGACAGTTTCTTATGTTCGTATGAATGGTGTCCATAAAATGTAAGATATTTTTCACCCCTACCCTCTACCTGGTGCAGTACTGACATTTTAAACTCAAGATGCCACAGATAGATCCTGGGACCTTCTATATAGGGGGGAAAACACATGTATTCCATCTCTCAGCAAGCCCTGGAGCTTACTGTCAAATCTTCTGTTGCCATGGCCACTTAGGAGAAAGACCTAGAAATTCCTAGCACTTCCCTGTGTTCTGCAAAGCAGGACCAATAGGCATGAGAAATCTGCTTTTCAGGGGGACTCCCCTCCCCATTGTTGATCTTCTGTTCAAAGAAACATGCATGTGCTTCAGAGGAACCCTAAGAGTCCCTAAGGACAGTAGTTTGAAGACTACAGAGAGAACCACCTCTACACAGGCACACACATCTGGCACACCAATTCCTGCTGTACTGCTCTAGATGTTGCTGCACTACACCTCCCTCACCATGCTGGTTGAGTGCGATGAGAGTTGTAGTCCAACAACATCTGGAGATCCTCAGGTTTTCTATCTCTGGGCTACGTGAATGCAGCACTTTGAAGACCTCAGGAAAATGAACTAAGAACAAGGGGGGAAAGTATACAGAGGTCCTGATATTCAAACGCCCATTATAGATAAATTCACTTATCCAAACACAAGGAATTAGTACCCAAACCTCGCTATACACACCGCAGGTTCAGATCTCCAAACTGCCAGACCTGCGTGTAGTAGTGTAAACAAATCAACAGACTTAAAGAAGCTTTATTTTTTTGTGTTTTGCTGGTCTGTGGCAGTTGTTTCATCAGAAACCATGATGAGAGGGAGGGAGGGAGGGAGGGAGGTCAGACAAATAAGAGAGCATTTTGCCCTTCCTTGTTAGCTTTTTGCAAGGTTTCAGAGGGTTTTCACATCATTTTATGGTCAAAATTCCATGGTTGGGAACACATTAGAAATTTCCCCATAGGAATCAATGGAAATTGTCAGCTCATTATGCAAATGCTCACCTAACAAATGTTTTCCTGAGAGCACATTGCGTTCGGATAGCAGGACCTGTGCGTATGCTGTTTGTAGACTGGAGCAATACAATTTCCCCCTCAATAGCTTGCTTTCCTTTTTAAATAAAATATAATCCTAGTGACACAGGGAAGCAGGAGCTCCCTTTTCAATGACTTGCCACTTGATATGATATTGAAATATATATAATCTCCATACCCTGAAATTTTATCCTATTCCCTCAGAGCCATCCCTTCCCTTTTGGATTTGGCCAGCGTCTGTCTGTAGAGGTCTGCTTTGAAAACAGTACTTAAGCAATATAAGAAGAAAACTGCCAAGCAACATTATTATTATCTGTAATGCAAAAAAGGTGTCCATAATACATGCTGTGCAGGCTAAGTATATGGCAGTAGCAGGAAAGGAGCCAGAGTATTTATAGCTGCATTACGTCGGTGAGCTATGGGGGGGGGGGGAAAGAGAGGGGAAGAGCTGTCTTATATCTATGAGAACAAGATCAATTTTATTACCAATTAACCTGCTCTATTAGTTCAGCAGAAGTGGGAGAGAAATCCATTGTAATGTAATTAGACAAATATGAACCCTTATTTAAAAGTGAGCCTTTCACCAAGACTCTCCTGATTCACCTAGCAAAGGGGCCCAAATCAGACCATCAATGGAACCATTCCTGTTATTAAAAAATTAACACACGTGATTCTCTAGTGTATATAGAGTTTGGTGAAACTGCAATCACGGCACTGGGAGACAATACACAATTAAATGAATTGCTGCATTAGTTGGCATGAGGTTTTAAGCCTATAAACTGTTACTGCAGGAGAGGTGTAGCAGAACAAGAAGCATAATCCTAAAGAGTGTTCATCTCTTTTCTCCAGAAATACTACAACTTGTCTGATCCTAGCTGCATTCCAAAACATGTCAACTGCATTGACTATTTTATATATATTGCATTTATATCCTGCCTTCCTCCAAGGAGCTCGAGGTGGCATACATACCGTAGTTCTCCCAATTTTATCCTCCTCCCAATTTTATCCTAACAACGACCCTGAAAGGTAGGTTCAACTGAGAGGGAGTGGTCTATCCATGCCATAATCGTGGCTGGGTAGTAGATGCAAAAAGAAGTTTATTCTGGGTTGGGGGGCATGGAAGAAGACAGCATCCACTTCTGCTTATTGACTGCAAAATCTTAACATACTGAGGAATATACATGGCTTGAAAGTGGCTTGCTTTGTTTTAGGAGGGGTTGGTTTTAACCCCTGGGAAAAGCAGCTGTGAGCAAGCTGGATTAAAAGTAATTTTCGCCATCAGACTTGCAAGCCAAAACATGTAAAAGTGAAGACAGAACGGCTGATAGGAAAAGATTGTGACATGGATGCCTTTTAGTCAAGACTAACTCATATGACGGCTCTGATGGGCATCCTTGGGTTGTATTCAATTGTTACTCTAGAGTAGATCCACTGAAATTAACAGGGCTAAGTTAGTAATAACCATGATTTCAATGCATCTACCTCTGAGTAAAAGTTCATTGACTACAATCCTTTAATACTATTTCAGGTCTAATGTACAGAGGGACCGCTATCTTTTCTGCAGCCACAATGGATTTTGGATGGTTTCTGATTAAATATACAAATTTGCCCAAATCTAAAGCCTTCCCTTCATCAGCCCTCTCTGCCTCCCTTTGAGATTCAGGGTGATATTAAACTAAATAATTGTGTGAGTTGAATGATTCCACTTACAGAACTTTCCTTCCTCTCCTTCTCTGTGCACACCTTATTCCATTTCCCAAATCAGCTCTGGAGGGTTGGGGTAACCCCCAGAGCATACTTGGGGGAGGGTGGCAGGGGAAGGAGGAAGTAGCATTGCACAAGCAGAAGTCGTTCCACTTGCACAATTAGGTAACCGAATACAACCCTCAGTCCCCAGTGTCAACACCTGGCAAAGGTAACTGGATGAATTAACATGTGGTAACCATACTAAGACAGGAAAGCTTTGCTTAACCATTATCATCATACTAGCAAAACAAAACCCAAAAAAACCTTGTATTATCTCAGATCAAGGAGACAGATTTTCAAGACGCCATTCCTTAAAAAAATAATGTGTTTTCCTTAAGTTACAAAAATAAACGCAATGTGTACATTCTGGATCTATGCAGCCAATATGTAGAATGATAAATATTTATACTTATATTCAGTGCTTTTTTTTCCTTAAAAAATGTTTAGGGGTACTCTCATTTTGACTCAAGAAAATCACCATTTTATAGTTCAAATCGGAAAAAATAAATACAGTAAATGGACAAAAGTACAAAGATTCATAAAACGTTTAGGGGTATGCGTCCCCCCAGGGAAAAAAGCACTGCTTATCTTGTTTTACAAATCTAATGTCTTCTTGTTTTTCAGTCCTCAGATATGTTACAATTAGGTTTCTAAATATTATCAAGAAGTATTGGCTTACAGGGAAAGCTATGAAGGCTGCAATCTCATACTCACTCACCTGGGTCTGCTCAGTGAGACTAACGATGGAGTAGAAATGTATAGGATTGCACTGTAGCGTATGGATGCTTGAAAATGAAATATTATACATTTGTGGCACTGTAGGTCTCCAAAGACTATGGTCCAGATCTAGCTGCAGTGAGCAAATCATAAGTTAGGCACAACTTGTTCTGTTGTTTTCAGTGGGCTGTAGTCACACCTTATGCCAAAATCACAAGTGCATTTTAATTATCAGCGGGGAAAGAGATTTTAATTTTCACCCTGCATTTTTCTCTCACTCCAGCTAATGCAAATCTTAACTTTCACAAGTTATGCTCTGCTGGTTTTTAAATGTCACTGCAACCCTTCCCCAACCAGCTAGTCCAATTGCAAATCTATGTAGATTGCCCTGCAACTATACTGGGATATCATCAAACACAAATTCTTGTCGTTTTCCATACCACTTTTTTCCTTTTTGGCATACTTTCTACCACCCATTCTCTAGTGAAATTGTAAAGTTGCCTTGTCAGTTTTTCTTTCCTTCTCCCTTATTGAAGTAATTAGTGTGTGTTGCATGTACGTATATGCTTTCCTAAAGGAAAAACAGAAACTTCCCCTCTCTTCAGCCGTAGCCTGGAGGCAGGGGAAAGGGCCGGCATTAGAGAAAAATAAGTCCGCAACTATGTCAGTTTCATTGGAAAGCAGAGAAGGCAGGGACAGTGAGGAAAATATGCATTCATGAGATTGATAAGCATTCCCCATCCCCCACTCCAGTATCAATTTCTCCGTAGAACACAGGTGGGGGTAGTGCAATAAATATTTATGGATGAAACTGACAACGCTTCTCCCGCGCTTTGGTGCAGGGAGGAGAGATAAGAATGTGAAAAACACATCCCAACTGTGTTTAATGAGAGAGAGAGAGAGAGAAAAAGGTAGGCGGAGGATTAAAAATGCATGTCAACTAGAATGCATCAGTTCACAGGTGATAACCCCCCCCCCAGGAAGGTTGAAAGGTGATTGTAAATCCATATTTCTCCATGCCTGTCAATCAATTTAAATGACTGATACAAGCACATTTAAAAATTGTATTCCTGTCTCCCCCAGGCATCGCAGCAATGGGAGTAAAGTTCATGCAGATGCACGTGAAATCTGTCCAACACAAGTTGGATCAGAGCCTAGGTGCACAATCTACCAATGAGTTGTTTATTTCAATGGGGTTTGTTCAACAGAACTTCATGTTGGATTGTATCGTGTTTCCCACAATAGTTTTACTGGGAATATCTATAATCATTGGGCTTACACGCTTTGCCAAGAACAACAACATTTAAAGGCATGCTAAAAGAAATGCAGGTGATAAAATGGACCTTGGGACGCGGGTGGCGCTGTTGATAAAAGCCTCAGTGCCTAGGACTTGCCGATCGAAAGGTTGGCGGTTCAAATCCCCGCAGCGGGGTGCGCTCCCATCGCTCGGTCCCAGCGTCTGCCAACCTAGCAGTTCGAAAGCACCCCCGGGTGCAAGTAGATAAATAGGGACCGCTTACTAGCGGGAAGGTAAATGGCGTTCCGTGTGCTGCGCTGGCTCGCCAGATGCAGCTTGTCACGCTAGCCACGTGACCCGGAAGTGTCTGCGGACAGCGCTGGCTCCCGGCCTATAGAGTGAGATGAGCGCACAACCCTAGAGTCTGGCAAGACTGGCCTGTACGGGCAGGGGTACCTTTACCTTTTTAAAATGGACCTTACATATAAGTTGACCAAGTTCAGCTGCCTTGAGGCCCAAAATTAACTGCTGGAAAACTATTCCCACCCCCAAACCCCTCTACATTTATGCCCCACCCTGAAAGCTCAGGGTGGTACAAAGAATTTAAGCAAGCAAAGGGACATTTACTAGTAAATCTTTAAACCTAATTCTGCATCTCTTGATGCTCCATCATATCTACTCTTTTCAGAATTCTTAACTTGTGAAGTGGCTTGCTGCATTTGCCGTCACAACAACCACATGTAATAAGTAAGCACTATACACATTTCACAGATGGGGAATGGGAGCTAACACACAATGACTTGCCCAGGTCCATAGCAGAAGTGGGACTTGAATCCAGGCCTCCAAACTCTCAACCCACTAGGGCACACTATCTAATTATTAAGGCCACTCAGAGTAATGATATTTTTTTCAATAAAGATATTGAGGTCCACTTCCTTTGCCACTCTAGAATGCCTTGAGGCATTTAACAATTTCTGCCAAAGTTTCCCAAGCTGCCCTTTTGCAGACAACAGTGATTAAGTACTGGCAACCAGCAGCCACCAAATAGTGCATATGTGGGGGGAAGATATTGTCCTGCCAAATGATGAGCACCTGCCATTCTCCAAATTCCGTAAAGTGTGGTAAGTTACCAAACAAGGGGTGCAGAAAGTAGTTACATGCATATCGCGATTAAATTATTAACTGGTAAACGGTCATCAGTATTCGTTTGACAGAAACTCTAGAACAAAACAGACACAATCCTCATTGAGGCCAATGTCTAGCAAGAGGTAGGAACAAGTTGGACTACAGCGCTTTGTGTTTTAGTAAAGCGTTTGCTGCCTGTTTCTTGGCTGCAGACTTGTTCGCATAGCAGAGGTCTTGCTGATGGAGGGCCTCTTCACTTGACGTCATGAACCCCACCAATGCACACGATGTCTGAGCTCTTTATTGAGCATGCGGAATCCTCGTCTTAGTAGGATTTAACTTTATTCAATCAATGGAGCAAACAAGGATTGAGAAGACAAGAATCTTTAGAGCTCTGAGGCATCTGAAATATGCTCTGAAGAGGGGGTCACCAATGTGATGCCCTTCAGACGCTGTTGGACTACAAATCTTGTCATCTCTGACCAATGGCCATACTGGGTGGGCCCGACGGGAGTTGCAGTCCAGCAAAATCTGGAGAGCACCATGTTGGCCACCCTTTATAGGCTAGAAATATTAACAACTATTCACATACATTCCCCCTCTGTGGTTGCTACCTTCTCTGGCTTCATAAAAATAAGAGCAACATCCACAATTTTAGCTACATTCCCAGTAGTGAAAGATATCACTTATGCTGCAGAGAAAAGTTAAATAAATAACGCTCAAAAATAAACACCCAATCCCTGTGAGCTTCCTTCTTCTCTACCATATTTATCTTTTATCTCATTTTTTATTCAGTGGGAGAAAGAGAATCTCCAGATGGAGGTGGGCAGAATAGGCCTCAAAATCCCTTTCTTCACTCACTCCCCTGTGCCTCATGCACAAATCAAGTCCAAAGACCATTGGAAAATGATCCCATCCTCTCTGTCTTCCGCTGAGATCCAAAGAGCCACTGGTGTGCGCTTAGTGGACCTTCTAAGGCCTTCCTTCCTTCCTCCTTTGGAGGAAGTTCAGTTCATTGGCTTTGCACACAAACAGGTTCAACCCTCGCCATCTCCAGGTAGGACTGGGAATGTCCCCCGTCTGAAACCATGGAGAGCTGCTGCCAGTCAGTGTAGACAATACTGGTCTGACTCAGTATAAGGCAGCTTCCCATATACTCCCAACAACCTGTTGTGTCACTACCTTACAAGCTGTCCTGAAAACTCAGGAGAGCTCCTGAGGTCAACCTCTGAGGCAAAACAAGGGTCTATGATTGCGGGGGGGACCCAGTGTGCATGGGTTCAAGAGCAACTTGGGACCCTAATATCATTGATATGGGAATAAGCCATATGACGGGGTTTTTCCAGAGCTGTTTCTCTCCGTTCCCCCATCTGGCACTTTCATTCTCTACAAAAACAGCAACCACCCTGTTATTCGGATTGAAGAAAAGCAGAGCTACTAAACTTCTAACACTGTGTGAGACCTTCAGTACAAACTGCAATGAAAAAGACTTTTCATATGAGTGACTTCTTCTTCTGGAACTGCCCTCATGATCGAAATATTCAGCTGAGAGCTAGTTGCACCCACCTCCTCTTTGGGTGATGGAGAATTGCTTTCTGGGAAATGCAACCAAAATCCCTATTGGGGCCTAGAAGGGGGCTGCTATTTCTTTACCTCTTTGGCTGCTGCCCACTATCTTCTTGGCCAATCAGGTGCCTGGCTTTGGTAGGCCTCTATGGTAAAATATTCTTTATATCAAGACTGAATGGTGGGGGCTGCCTCCTCCGTTCCTTGCTGAATCAGGCCACTGTTTCACTTCTCATAATCATCCCAGTGCTTGATGATGATGATGATGATGATTTTTAACAAGTGAGAGACATGGACGTTATATAAGCATTTCCTACTGTCAGCACTAATGGAAAGTAGCATGAGGCAAACCCAAATATAATTCTGGATTACGATGAGCTTTTCGCCCATCCTTCCACTCATCCAGAGAGAAGCAGCAGGACTCCCCACAGCTTTCTGGCGACTCCATCATGATTCCCATGTGCACCCTTCGTAGTCTGGGTCACCACTGCCTCCCTGCTAGGTCCTTTCAGTTCACTTCTGTCTTGTGTGGGCTTCAGGGCTTCCACAGTTTCCGCTCATCTCCAGGAGACATTGCACTCCACTGGCTGTCCCTCATTTTTCATTTTTATCCCCTCTCTTGAACTTCCTGCAGCCGTTTCTCCAAGCGATCCAGTTTAGCCAGATTCTCTTTCAGAAGCTTGCTGTTTGGAACCAGCTGCAAAGCTTTCTTATAATAGCCACGTGCCATGATGTAGTTGCCCTGCAGAAGGAGGAAGGAAGAAATCATAGCACCCGTTGCAAAGCTGCTGTTGCTGAAATGCCATTCCTAACAGCCCTGTCCTAGTCTCACACGCCAATAGCTACAAATGTGCTGACAGAACCAGCATGGAATTGTGCAATAGTGAAGGCATGTAGCCTAGTGGCCAAGACACCAAACTCTGTCCCTGGTTCAGATCGACAAAGTAGGAACTACGCAGACCTATGTCTCAGGCGGTTGTTGGGCAGAGGAATCTGCACTATAGAAAGCCAGTGTAATTTACGCTTGGGTAAATTATGCAAGTGTAATTTCCCCCAATTCCAAACTCCTTTCAGGAGAAGGGCTGCTGTAAACTAAGCCAGCCTGAGCCTGGCAGATGGAATACAAGCCTTTAAAATAGTTCAGCTTAACACATTTTTGCCAGGTTAACTTCTGTTGAGTTTCTAGGTCCTGTGATCAAACTGAAAGGAGTTTGGAATAGGGGTAAGTCCCCCACTGCTGGCTTGCCCCCCTCCACACCACATCCTTTTTGCAGGGACTTACTCAACCCCTAGGGGACGCGGGTGGCACTGTGGGTTAAACCACAGAGCCTAGGGCTTGCTGATCAGAAGGCTGTTGGTTCGAATCCCCGTGACGGCATGAGCTCCCGTAGCTCTGTCCAGCTCCTGCCATCCTAGCAGTTCAAAAGCACGTCAGAGTGCAAGTAGATAAATAGGTACCACTGCGGCAGGAAGGTAAACAGCGTTTCCGTGCGCTGCTCTGGTTCACCAGAAGTGGCTTAGTCATGCTGGCCACATGACCCGGAAGCTGTACGCCGGCTCCCTCAGCCAATAAAGCGAGATGAGCGCCGCAACCCCAGAGTCGGTCACGACTGGACCTAGTAGTCAGGGGTCCCTTTACCTTTTTACTCAGCCCCTTCTGAGCCTTACACCATCAAAGTACACTCTGAATAGAATATTCTAATATAAATGCCGAAATGAGTGATTTGATGGACCTCTGACTCCTTTCTTAATCCTGCCTAGTTATCTCTGAATCACTTTCTGCCCTTCTTTGTTCCTCAGCAAAGGACCACTTCCATTGGCAGAGCTTGTGAATCTTCTTACCTTGATATGCTCAATCCCTCCCATGTTCATCCAGGCTTGTGCTTGTTCCGGGTTGAAGTCTACAGCAACTTTATAGCTCTAAATTAACATGAAAAACAAAACAAAGCCCAAATGTTGAAACAATCCTGCCCACAGTGTGGAAATCTCAAGAGAGGCCAGTAAAGGAACGTCACTAACATGCCTTTCTGAAATCTCCTCAGAGCTACAAGTGATTTCAAAAACTGCTTCACAGTCTTAGGTGCTTACAACAGGATGGTACCATTCTGTTAAGACTCTGAAAAGCTATTTCTTGGGAGAACAGGTGGGGGAGGCAGGGGCACAGATTGCAAACTAGAACCTCGGGAGGTTATAATGCTTGCACTGAATTGGAGGAGAGCATTATGAATCATAAAGATTTCAGAAAGGAGTGTCAGCAACATTTCTCCAGAAGACTGGGTAATAAAACACGTGCTTGATCACAGGAACGAGGACACACAGTGCTGAATCTTAAACAGACCAGATTTACAGGATGTCTGCCTGCATCTCTGGCTTCACCCCTTTGCCACATAAATCGAGCAACAGTTTCAGGGCACCGAACTGGGGAGCAGGGATACAAGATTCCTAAAGTGCCTTCTTCATGGGGCACCCCATTTGCCTCATCATCCTCAGCTGTGTGGGGGCCCACTTGAATGTATACCAACCAATCTAACCAATCTGAAGAGCTGTGTGCTACATTAAATGAAACAGGTGGCTGGTGAGTTAAGACAGCCATGTGGTTTTTAAATTATTATTATTATACTTACCTCAAAAGCTTTGTCCAGGTGATTTTGTTCTCTTAGCTGGTTTCCTTTAGTGAAAAAGAGTTCTGATATGACTTTGGGGTCCTTTGGTTTCAGCTGTAGAGCTTTGTCTATGGCTTCAAGCGCCTGAACAAACACACAAACAATGATAAATATGGGTCATTTGAGCAGAACTCCTATTATATTTTGATATTTACTCTTAAGTGATGATTCACACACATTTTAGGTGTACACATAAACACATGTAATGCGTGAATGAGACCCATTTGTATCATACAGGTATTCTCATCAGAGAACCAGAACTGGCCATGGTTTTCTGACAAATGTCCAGCCGGTCACAAAATTGGTTTTGCTCCTCCATAATGTGTGGAACAGACCCAAAGTCAGAGTTGAACATGGGTGAAAATGCTTTTGCAGACTTCATAATATTTTGTCAGTAGTCTATACCTTGATGTTCCTGTCCCCTTTTAACACTGAGGAAAACATCCCTACTTCATTCTGAAAGCACCAATATTTTTGTTATTGGACATAGAACCCTTCCCTTTGCTGCACTACTGATCAGGAAATTTGTGTAGCTACTTTTTGCCTTTTTTTTCTGGCAAGAAAACTAACATTTCACCAGCAGTTGGATCCTCAGTACCACTTGCTGAAGGAAGTTGGGAAATGGAGTCTCTCCTCTACTTCTCCAGAAGTCTCTTCTGAGAATCAGGAGACCCTACTGGGTGAGACTGGCAGTTGATGGGAGGTTGATGGGAGAGGGTAGAATTACATCAAACTAGTCAGAGTTACTAGGCAGAGTTGAGGAGGGTCTCCTGAACATCTGGAGAGGCTTCTTGAGATTGCTGAAGGAAGTAGGGGAAGGGAAAATCTCATTCCAGCAGCTTTCTTCTGCAAACGGTTCTTAGACCCAAGCTGAGATCTTAACACTCAGTGACAATACATGCACAAAGCCACATGATGTCTGGGTTGGCTTAAGGGTTATTGCTATGCATCGTTTTAGGTCTAACTCCACCTGATGGGTGGACAAAGGCTGATCTCCTAACCAAGTGCTTTGACTGGAAGATTTCCCACCAGAGCAGCATTCCTACCTTGTTGTAGTTCTCTTGCTTGCTGTAGATGGCTGACAAAAGGCGGTAGCACTCCAGGCATTCTGCCTCCTCAGTCACAATATGATTGGTCATTTGTTCTGCTTCCTTGGTTTGCCCCATCATTGCTAAAACTTGAGCCTACAAACAAACAAACAAACAAACAAACAAACCATAAAAGGTGTCCTGATTGGAGGACCTCATATTTACAAGCATTCTGTGTCATCACAGGAGTTTATAGGATGACTTTCCAATTCTATCAGAACGCCTCACATACCGATGGCAGCTAATCAAGGCATCTCCCAAAAAGATACCTCTGACATGATCTGCCTCCCTTTTTCTCTTTTACTGAAGAAGAACAGGATGCTATCATCACCACAGAGGTGTCTGTGGAGGGGATATATTTATTGAAAATGTCCAGCCAACCAGATTGGCAGTTGGGTTCCTACTGAGGATATTTGGCGACCCAACGTGACAGTGATGTGGGATTGAGGAGTGGAGTGATCATTCTGTGATATTATGGCAGCGGACAAAGCTGCATTGCAACTTTTGAATAAATGTTTACTTTAATTTTAAAAAATCTTTTTTTAAAAAGAGGGGTGACTTTCCAGTGAATGAGCATTGCAACACTGGAACCTCACTGGATGAGATGTTACCATGGAAAAAGCCACACACCTCAACTCAGAGGGTGGGCACCAGAGCTGGATGATAATAATCTGAACCCCTGGCTGGTTTATATGGGAGCAGGCCATTTTTCAAATGCTCTGGTCTTAGCCCATTTAGAACTTTAAAAGGCTAATACCAGCACTTTGAATTGAGCCCAGAAGCAAACTGGCAGCCAGTCAAGATCTCTAAGTACCAGCATTACAGTTGTCTAACTAGCTGCTGCCAGGGCATTGATAACTGTAGTCAGATCACTTCTCAACATCAGCTTTGGGAAACTTGGACTTATATACTCCTTCCACATTCCTCTTTCAGCATGGCTGCAAGGAAGAAATCAGAAGCTTGCATTTTTGCTAGAATGACCACAGTTTAATATTACATCCAAACCATAAGCTGTGGTTAATTTTAACTATGGTTTGTTGAAACAAGCCAACTTCTTAAGCTATAGTTTGAAGTTGCCTTGTTTCAACAAACCATAGTGACTATTAGCCACAGTCTGTGGGGTTCGAATGACACAGCAAACAGTGCTTAACTGAAAACAGAAGCAGGAGTCTCCAAACTCTTCTTCATAGTCATGCTGGAAGAAAAATGGGAATGTGCAAACCCAAGGCTTGGGGATGGCTCATTCTCATAATGCAAAACCATGGTTTAGTGGTACATCTAAACAGTCCACTTCCTCTCCCAGACCTAACTGCAAGCGGAAGCAACTGCAAAGCTGAAATCCACTAACCTTCACAAAGTCAGGAGTAGAGGAACTGTTCCTTTGACATGGAAGGACAGTTGGCCTTGCTATGGTTCCAATGGTCAGTATGATATAACTCCCCCTCCTCTGCCCCCCCCACTCACTCACACTCACACACTCACCAGAGCCAGCCGAGTCTCCTTGTTGGATGGTTGAAGTGCTGCAGCTTCCCTGTACACCTTTAAGGCGTCTTCATATCTCCCTGTGTTATAATACAGAGCTCCAAGAGGAGACAATATTTCAGCCTTCCGTGCTACTTTCAGTGCCCTAAATGTTGGCAACCAAAAGGAGGGGAGCGGTGGAAACAAGGAAGCAAATAGCATGGATTGAAATGTGACTGCTGTTAGGCTCCAAAACAAATACACAAGCAGTTATATAGGATGCTGCCTTATACAGAGTCAGACAATTGGTTCTCCTAGCTCAGGGGTCTGCAACCTGCGGCTCCGGAGCCGCATGTGGCTCTTTTACACCTTTGCCGCGGCTCCGGGGTGGATACTAGTGAGGGGAGGAGGCGCATTGTGCGCCCCGACACTCCCCACTGAGGCGGGCGCTGTACTGGCTGTGACGTCGCATGGGGCGGTGCGTGCGTTAGTCACGCACTGCCCCGACGTCACCTTCCCGCCCGCTGTCAGATCGCGGCTCCGGAGATATATTTGTTTTAAATGTTGCAATGGTTTTGCGGCTCCCAGTTGTTTTTTTCTTCGGAAACGGGTCCAAGTGGCTCTTTTTGTCTTCAAGGTTGCAGACCCCTGTCCTAGCTCAATATTGTCTATACCATTGGGATTGAGCTTGAGACCTTCTGCATGCAAGGCAGATGTTCTCCTACTGAGCTACAGCCCTTCCTAAGGTTCACAACAAGGCTTTCTGCCATCGGGGGCAGGAGGATATTTCATCCAGTCTTCCCCCTGCCCTTCATTCTATCATCATAATCTCTACTCCCCTCGCCTACTGATGCCTTCCTTGTGGCTTTACTTCCATGGCAACATTATTCTGCATTTCAGGAAATAACCCAAATTAGTACAGCTGCAATAAATGGCAAGAGCCAAGTGCATTATGAAGTTATCGCTTACATCATTTTTTCAGAAAATTGGCATTTACATTTTCTTTTGTACATATCTGGGATTTCTTACAATTAGACGCCTTGAGCCCCAAGAAAGGAATTTGACACTATAAAGTGGCACATACCCCATCCTGCCTTGCCTTACCGTTTGTACCAAGTTTCAGCATCTTTGTTCTGCCCCAAGGAGCGGTACAGCCTGCCGAGGTTCACCATGGCCACATGATGACTGGGGCTAAGCTGAATGGCCTTCTGGTAGTGGGAAACTGCAGTCTCTGGAGATCCTAGGAAATAAAGAGGGTTGGGTTATGGCTTCTCTTTACATATCCTGCAAAGCTATTATGGATTCTGTTCGTGCTCATGTATTTGGGAATGCATATGAAAACCAACCACACCTTCAAGAAGAGTCTGAAAAACTATGTTCTTCAACCCTAGGTCACCTGAATATCTTGCATTATTTGTATAATGTTTTAAACCCACCTTTCCTCCAAGGCAACCAGGATGCCACACATAGCCTTCAACACATAGCAAGGGACTATGAGCCACTGGGGAGGGAGCTGAAGAGCTGTGTGGGGAACATGGAGAAATGCTATTGGGTGACAGAGAAAAGGCGGAACTACTCAACACCTACTTTGCCTCTGTCTTCACCCAAAAGGAAAGTGATGCCCAACCTGGTGATAACAGAATAAATGATGTAAGGAGAGAGCTGAAGCCCAAGATAGGAAAAGAGGTAGTAAGGGAACAGCTAGCTACTTTAAATGAATTCAAATCTTCAGGGCCTGATGAGCTGCATCCAAGGGTACTAAAGGAGCTTCCGGGTGTAATTTCACAGCTTTTGTCTATTATCTTTGAGAATTCTTGGAGAACAGGCGAGGTCCCTACAGACTGGAGGTGGGCAAATGTCCCCATCTTCAAAAAGGTGAAAAAGGAAGACCCAGACAACTACCGACCAGTGAGCTTGACATCAATACTAGGGAAGGTCCTAGAACAGATAATTCAACAGTTGGTCTGTGAGCATTTAGAAAAGGATGCTGTGATTACTAACATCCAGCATGGGTTTCTCAAAAATAAGTCACGCCAGACCAATCTGATTTCTTTTTCTGATGGAATTACAAACTTGGTAGATCAGGGAAATGCTGTGGACATAGTGTATCTTGATTTCAGTAAGGCATTTGACAAAGTCCCCCATGATATTCTCATGAGGAAGCTGGTAAAATGTGGGTTGAACGAGGTAACTATTAGGTGGATTTGTAGCTGGTTGACTGACCAAACCCAAAGAATACTCATATACAAAGATTCTCTAAATACACACAAACATATTTATCCTCACAACAACAACTATGTGAGAGAGGTTAGGCGGAGAGATGCTGATTAGTCCAAGGTTACCCAGTTCAACTTAAGAACCTTCAGAAAAGCCTGCTGGAGAAGGCCAATAGCCCGTTCTCAAGTGGCCAACCAGATGCCTATGGGAAACCAGCCAACAGAACATGAGCACAAGAGCTCTCTTCCCTCCTGTGGTTTCCAGCAACTGGTATTCGGAAGCATTGCTGCCTCCAACCGTGGAGGCAGGCCATTGCCTTCGTGGCTAGTAGCCACTGATAGCCCTCTCCTCCATGAAAAGAGAAGAGCTGTCATAGAAGAGTGGGGATTTGAACCTGAGACTTAAGTGCAGTATCCCTAATCACTACACTACTGAAGCCAGCCTAACTGACCCCATAGGGCTGATGTGGGGGGGGGGATGCATTGTTCATGGAAGTTGCGGTTGGAGATTACTTGCTCAAGGTAACCATCTGCACTTGGCAGAGGTGGTCTTTATTTATGATGTAAATAAAAAGTATAACCTGCTCCTCTAACGATGCTAAAAGCAGCTTGCAAGAAAAGCTTTTTTAAAAAAGACGCTAACATTAAATAGGAAAAAACAAAACAGCACAGTTACAAGTATTTTATTCCTTCTATCAATAAATAGATTGGTTTGGTCTAAAGTGTCCTTTAGTGGCAAAACCTAAGACTGTATTTATGCATCGCCACAGGATGGAGCTGCTTGACTGTATTTTTCATGGACAGACGTGACAGATGAAATTTTGGAGAAATCCATTACAGCAGAGAAGAAGAGAGCAAGAGAGCGCTCAAGCTGTGTGTAAACTGATTAAGTAGTATCATTCATCAGTGTCTTATGCTTAAAAAAAAGCCAACAACCCACAACCGATGTGTTGATGTTAATTTCATCCTGCAGAAAAGTGACAGATTGCTAGCCTTGGGAAGCAAACAGCTATTTAAGATAAATTTTGTACATGAATCCACTGCCTGTTACATGGAAACATCTTCCACAGCAGTATGCATACATAATCTGCATGTGAAATGCAAATAAATACGTCAAGGTTAAAAATAACCAATGTTTAAGAATTGTAAAATAAAAGGGGGGGCCCTCTTGTTAATTTCACTTTATTTGAAACTTTCAGTCATGCCCTCAAGGCCAAAGCATATTTACAGTGATTCAAGACCCTTCAGCTGTTTTATTCACTGCAAACTCACATCTCTCACAGCAATAGAATCACAGAATTGTGAAGTTGGAAGGGACCCTGAAGGATCATCTAATCCAGTGTTTCGCAAACTTGAGTCTCCAGCTGTTGTTGGGACCACAACTCCCATCTTACCTGACTGCTGGTCCTGCTAGCTAGGGATGATGGGAGTTGTAGTCCAAGAAGAGTTGGAGACTCAAGTTTGGTAAACACTAGTCCAACACTCTGCTACACAAGAATATGCAGCTGTCCCACATGGGTATGAAATCTCAACCCTGGCATTATCAGCACTATGCTCTAATCAAGTGAGCTATCCAGGCCAATCTAGACGACTGTAATGAACTCTACCTTGGGCTCCCCTTTGTGCTTACCTTCAATGCTAGTCCTGTACAGAGGAGACCCACTGAAATTAATTAACTTAAGCTAGTCATGTTCATTAACATCAATAGGTCTACTCTGAGTAGGGACAGCACTGAATACCACTCTGAAGCTGCAATGGTTACGGGACGAAGTGTCTTGCCTCTTGGCAAGAGTGCTAGGAAGAAATGCCGTATGTGCCTCTTGTACCTGTGTTGGTGTTCTATAGCTTTCAGGATATGAACTGTGGTTCTGGTTTTGATTATAAACCTCTAAATGTCTTAGCACAGAGGTTTTCATTCTTTTTGAGTCCACGGCTCCCTTGACCAACTACATTCTTTCTGTGGCACCCCTGTGGGGCTGAGGAGCCCAATTATGTCACCCTTTGCCTGCAGAGCCAGCAGCCCCTCACCCCTTTCCAAGCACTTTCCCTTGTGGTGTGCTCCCTCAACCTCCCTCTTATCCCCTCTTCTTGGGACTTCTCTGGGAAGCCGCCGCTGCCGCCCCTGGTCTCTGAGCTGCCCCCTCCCCAAAGAGAGGGGCTTCTTCACATTGCCCCACAGGGGCCTAGGAAGCACCCCCTGGACAGCCCCAGAGGCACCATTCGCAACAATCAGTTGTGCAAGCCTTTGGGAGGCAGAGACGCGAGAGGGAATCAGAAGAAGGAGGGAAGGAAAGAGGGATAGAGGCCAGTGTTGCCCACAGCACCCCTGACTATCATTCAAGGCACCCCAGGGTGCCACGGCACACTGGTAGAAGACCACTGTCTTTGCAAGCCACTTCGACTTTACTTATTTTATTTTTATTTATTCATTGTGCTTAAATTCCACCTTTAGCTCAAAGGAGCTCAAAGTGGAGTGTACATGGTTATCCCCCCCCTCTGCATTTAATCGCAACAACAACCCTGCAAGGTAGGGTCAGGCTGTTTGTTCCGATTCTGCATTAAAGAGTGGCCTTACCTGGGGGAAAGTTAAGGGGCAAACCAAAACAAACAAAAGCACTTGGACACTGACCAGGAAATGCCAAGAAATGCAGAGCAAAGTTAAGTGTGGACTCATCAAGAGTATCTCTTATACAATCCATCTGAATACTGAATCCATGTAACAAGAGGAATGTACAAAAGAATTACCAAGTGTTTGGCGTTCAAGGAGCAAGTTAAACCTGAGCAGCTTCTGAAAGCAAATTAGAATGTTCCTGGCTGAGCCACAGTTAAGCTAGTTAAAGCTTCATATTATTGTAAGCATTTCATCCCAACGCCTTAACTTGCGGTTTCGGAAGAGTCGGGGTTGACAGTGACAGGCCTCTCAGTCACCTCCACTGGCAGGAAAGCTCAGATGGCAACAGAAAGATTTGTCACAATCCCCAGCACTTTTAATTGCTGTGCTTTCCCCATGTGCTGTCAAAAGCGTCTTTGGGGAGCGTGGGAGCAAGGAGATATATGACAGTATGAGGGCAAAATTGAGTGAGAGACATAGTCCTCAAACCGTCCGTGTGTTTCTTATGCCTCTGACTTTGGAGACGATGCTAATAATCACAGTCCGTAAAAGGAATAAAAATGGCCCCTTTTATCACCTATCCAGGCTTCTTGAGGCAAGGCTGTGCATTCAGCGGGCTTTTCAGAAAACTACTTTTTATTTTTCTAAATTTAAAGCGCTGAGATTCTCTACCCTGACCTCATCCAAGACCTTTGCAGAAGAAAACAGACTTGCAGCCTAAGGAGCAGGTGCCTGCCCTCTCATGCAGAATGCAGATCAAGTCAAAGCGGAAGAGTTTCTCCCAGCACAGAAAAGCAACTCAGGCACTGCTTGGTGTCCAGGGGCTATTCTGAGGCTACAATAAGCTGCTTAACAGGAGGAGAATGGAACAAACCCCAATAAAGTAGGGATATTAAAAATACATATATAGAAAACATCTACTCTACATTTCCATCTAGCGAAAAATAGAAGACAGCTGATTTCATTGCAGTAAAAAAAGGGGGGGTCAGGTTTCAGACTGGCTGAATGTTTTATTTTATTTTAGCACAATAAGGGTGGAAGACAAAGAAGGCGGTATTATTCCAAAGTGTATGGGGAGGTTTTGGATCTGCTGGATCTAAAGTTCTCCCATTCCCTCAAATCCTACCCCCAAAACCCACCCAGGAATAGGTTTGGGGGTGGGGAAATACAGCAGCGTTAAAGCTGGCATATTTCTTTTCCCTCCGGCTACCCCATCACTAGCATATTCTCTGGAAGGTGGGAAACTGGCTGGACTCAAGATTTGATAGTTCTTCTACCACAGGGAGCCTGTCATCACAATACAAAGGCAACAGGATCACCAAAATTTACTTTTTCTGCTGTGGCTTTCAGAAGTGTTAATATGCACCTTCTCCCTTATTTTATCTCTGAGAAATGCTTGCTGCAGCAGTTGGGAGCCCAGATAGTTATGTAACCTTCCCTGTCAACAGCTCAGGCAATTGTCTGAAGTCTGTTTTGGAAGGGGTAACCTGAAAGCCAAAAGGAGTGGCTTACTTTCTTGGTCCACTATTCAAATTCAAGTCAATGTATGACGTGCCATTTGCAGTGACTACTTCTATTATGTTTGTGCCAAGGAGGGAACCGAAGCTACAGAAGCTGGATCTGAAAGACTCCACATTCTGCCACGAGTCCTTTGCTGAGAAAACATACATGCCTCCTTTTCCAAGTCACAGCATTTGTGTTTGGACAAAACAAGCCCACTGCAAAGCCTGGTTTTCTTCTGTAGCAGCTGTACTCTTCCTCAAGGAGCTGATGAGCAATTCTGAGCCACCACTGAGCTGCAGCAGGAAAGCCTGGGAAGTGGCCGAAGCATACATGGCTTCAAAGTGGTCATAGTGCATCACCATCAGGATATGGTAGGCAACCCTTTGGTGCCCAGACAGAAAGCAGGACAACACTCTGCTGGCTTGAAAAGACAAGCACGTACCAGGAAGGTTGCCAGCTGGACATCACTGCTAATTGCAAACCCTTCCAAGCGCACTTCCAATGACCACCCGATGTGGATGCTGACTCATGAATTTATTCATTTGCAGTGTGATCCTATACACGCCCATCAGAAATATGCCCCCACTGAGTTCAATGGAACTTACTCCCGGGAAAGTGTGCATGTGATTGCTTGGCTGGGAGTAAGCCCTCTTGAACTCAATGGTGCTTTGTTCTAAAAGGCATGCACAGGTTAACACTGTCAGTTACCTAGGGTTTTAAGGACCTTTAATGTCTAGTGCTCAATGCACACCTGCCCTGATAACCAGCTATGCATCTTTCTGCAGGTGAGAGGGACTATGCTAACACACATACACAAACCATTGTTAAGGTTGGAGGGTGGGGTGTAGGATTGGACTGTTACAATTCTTCTCCTTTCATTATGCTTGGCCTCATTTACCCTCCCTGACATTTAATCTCTCTGATTGTGGTGAACCATGTGGTTTCATTTACAAATGTCCGTGACATCACCAAGTCACATGTAACACTGCAACATCATAGTCAAAACCGGACTGGTCACTGCTGTTAATCAGCGGGAGGTGAGGGCAGATGAGGGCAAGAGGGAAAAGAAGGAAAATGCAGAAAAGGAGCAGCAGCTGACGGGGGACCAAAAGGCTGCTGAACAATTTTGAAGTAATTAGGGTATGGTTGCAGCAGGTATCAAAACTGCCAAAAATGGGAAGGACTTTTCAACACATACGAAAGTTATCTAAAGACAAATTGAGACGTTTTGGTTCATTTTCACAGATGGCAACAAGAATGGGCACATTCGCTTTCAGGCACTCTGAATTACACACATTAAACTAATTGTCCTCTTGGTTCAACCAGAATATATCTAATAACCCCAGTGCAGTATGTACTTACCTGTGTCTACTAAGAAAACCCCATAGTTATTGTGCAGATCGGAGCTCTCAGGACAGTTCTCTATTCCAGCTCGGTACACTTCCTCTGCTTCTTTTAATTGGTCCTTAACACAAAAAGAGTTAGCAAATGTGGTTACCCAGAGGGTTGTCAGCCTTGCTACTCATGGCTACTTGTACATTTCTTTCATGGAAATACTTATGGGCTTATTGGGGAAGGGTTCAGGATATTTCCTTCTGAATGCTTGAGAATGTTATGCAAGCCGCTCTGAGCTCCTTGGAGAAAGAGCAGGGTTGCCATATAAGAGACTGAAGTACATTAATAGCACTGATGAAAACATAATGTTCCCATGAGAACAGAAGCTCCTGTGATATGCTTGAAGGTGAGCATGATGCTGCCGCTGCCCCAGATAGGCTCAAGAACAGAGGGAAACGCTTTCTGCTTGCATGGCAGCTGCGCCTGCACTTCAAAGAACAGTGCGCTGTGAGGCATAACGCTGAATCATATCCATGAAAGGGTCTGCACTCATCGGGGTCAAGAAGTAGACAGGCAGGTGCTGTGTGAGATATCATCATCACACATGGTGAGCTTGAGAATAATCTGAGGCCATGGGAGAGATTTTCACAGCTAACCTGCATATATTCTAGATGGGGGCATATGATGTGCTAAAATCTTTTGCATTTAATTGTGTTCAGATTTTTGAATGTGAATTATGCAAACTGAGCATATCTGTACATATAAGGATTTTACAGCATTTATTCGCCTTCTGTTAATCTTCAGGAGGGACAAAAGCTTTGGGAGCTGCTAGGTCCTAACAAGGCACAAAGGTCTTCAGGACACAAGGAAAATTGGCTGTTGGTTTAAGTGAACCATTCTGGAGTTTTGGCAGAAAATAATTATTTCATTTCACAATCCATGAAAACTCGGCAGAATGGAACTGGGTGGGTTCACTCATCCCAAGCAAATATATTTGTTTTATTTAAAAGCATTTACATGCAGCTTAGTATTTCAAAAACTTCTAAGCAGTGTACAGTTTAAACAATATACAATTAAAACAAAAATGCAACTAAAACAGCAATAGAAAAACACATGAAAGCATTGCAGACATGTCAAACAGGGTCCAGTCTTACAGGCCAGGGAAAGTCTGGTTGAAAAGGCAAGTCTTCCCAAGATAGTTTTCTAAGTTGCTCATCAGAGAAGAACCCAGACATAGATCAAAACGTTCCTGGTTTAGGTGCCAGGTACTGGTGTCGGCTACAACATGTTTCCTAATTTCCAGAGGGGAAGCTGCATTGGCCTCTTGCAGCTGTTTCCTGCAGGCTTTTTGTTACTCACGTTCCTCCCTCTCAGGGATTTTTAAAGCACCCACACCTCACAGCTCTTGTGGCCCTTTAAAATGCACTACATGAGCCTTCCATCTTTGCTTTGCCATGGTTGCACCAGGGAAGCTTGAGATGCCATCGCTCCGAGCCCCTGCTTTGCAAGCAGAAGGTCCCAGGTTCAATCCCTGGCATCTCCAGTTAAAGGACCAGCTATCAAGTTGTGGGAGAGTCCTCTAGTTGGGACTCTGGCAGCAGTAGACAATACTGGGCTAGATGGATAACATCTGGAAGGCAGTGTCTAATGCCTCTTTGACTCCAGAAGCTGTTTTCTGGGGGTGGGGGGGGGAATCTGCATGAACTGCAAACACTGAAGTTCCCAAGTCTCCACCACCACCGCTTAAGTTGCCCTGAATCATAATTTTGTAGTTTTCAGGCCTCAAGTAATACAATATGCTTCTGAAGGAGGATTCCTGCCCAAGGCATCCATTTCATTAAAAAGCAAAGCAAAACCTCATTTGATTCTAAATCAGGGGTCAGCAACCTTTTTCAGCCGTGGGCCAGTCCACCGTCCCTCAGACCATGTGGTGGACCGGACTATATTTTTTTGAGGTGGGGAATGAACGAATTCCTATGCCCCACAAATAACCTAGAGATGCATTTTAAATAAAAGCACACATTCTTCTCATGTAAAAACACGCTGATTCCCGGACCATCCGTGGGCTGGATTGAGAAGGCGATTGGGCCGCATCTGGCCCACGGGCCTTAGGTTGCCTAACCCTGTTCTAGATCAACCAGAGACACAAGGTCAGCTGCCTAATGCCAGTATACGAGCAAATCAAGCACCACCTTCTGAACTTCTGATGTCTTAAGCATTCCAATGAGAACAAGTTTTGTTGGGTTGGGGGACCCAGAAGAAAAAACAGAATTGTAGAGTTGGAAAGGATGATAATCATTTGGTCCAATGCAGAGCTTGAACCCACAACCCTGAGATTAAGAGACTCATGCTGGATAGCTCAGTTGGCTAGAGTTTGGTGCTGATAATGTCAAGGTTGCAGGTTCAATCCCCATAAGGGAGAGCTGCATATTCCTGCATTGCAGGGGATTGGACTAAATGATCCTCAAAGGCTCTTCCAACTCTATGATTCTATGCTACCTCTGAGCTATCCCTATAGCACTTTGAATTCCACAAGCATCACAGGAGAAGCGGCTTTTCTTAAAGGTACAGAATCTTCAAAAGCAGCGAAGTGCTTGCAGTTAAGTTTGGGGCTCACTACAACACTGGCTTGTGTAATCGTCCTCCCTTTGCAAGTCTGCTCTCATTTGAAAATCACCTTTCGAGGGGAGGACAGGGTAATTACGCTGACTTACAACCCAACTCCCTTGAGCATGGAACATTAATCTTAAGTGCCCCTTTTTACAACTACTGGAGCAAAGGAACGTCAAGGCTCATTTTAGATTCTTACATTGCAAGGGGAAACGTGCCGTGCAGGATCAACTGAGTCAATCAGAAAGCTCCCTCCTCCTCCCTTTCCCAGATTATAAAAATAAATCCAGAACCCACAATTAATCAGTCTGCTTACTTCACAGTAGCTGCAGAGAGTGTGACTTCTACCGCTTGACCTGATCCTCCTGTGAGTCTGGCAGCGTGGGAGCGCTAGTAGCGCTGCTGCTTCGTGCGCCCCCAGGTAACTTGCCAAGCCCCACACCACGCAGAAGGAGCCTTTGCTGCAGCTCCTGTGCACTCCCAAAACTAATCCAGTCTACAAAGGGATGGCATTGGCAATAGGGGGGAGTCAGAGCTGCACACGTTGCTAGAGAGCAGCCTCCCCAAACCTGGTTCCCTCCTGGACTACAACTCCCATCAGCCCCAGCCAGCATGGCCAATGGTCAGGGATGGTGGGAGCTGCAGTGTAAAAAAATATCTGGAGGGCACCACGTTGGGGAATGCTACCATGGCCTCGGCCCAGTATACCTGAAGGAGCGTCTCCACCCCCATCGTTCTACCCGGACGCTGAGATCCAGCGCCGAGGGCCTTCTGGCGGTACCCTCATCGCGAGAAGCAAAGCTACAGGGAACCAGGCAGAGGGCCTTCTCGGTAGTGGCACCCGCCCTGTGGAACACCCTCCCATCAGATGTCAAAGCGATAAACAACTACCTGACATTCAGAAGCCATCTTAAGGCAGCCCTGTTCAGGGAAGTTTTTAATGTGTGACATTTTTGTGTATTTTTGGTCTCTATGGAAGCCACCCAGAGTGGCTGGGGAAACCCAGCCAGATGGGCGGGGTACAAATAATAAATTATTATTATTACTATTATGGTGGAAGGAGAAGAAGTGCATCAGTGACTCCCATCCCTGTGGGTAGTAAAAGCATCAGATCTAATTAGACATTGGGGCTCCCCTGTAGCTACTGAGAGAAGATACTTTCCTCATCTATTTACAACTGAGCCAATGCTGCTCCTCCCACAATGTGGACACCATGTTCATATGCCACAAATTTGTGGGGAAGGAATGGTTCTGGGGGCAATGGCAACCCCAACCATGAGGGTCATCCAGTTCAACCCAAAAAACTCTGAGATTAATAGTCTCGTGCTCTACCGACTGAGCTATTCACTTGCAGCACATCTATTGCCCTGGACCATTTTTTAAATTAAAAGTTGGCGAGTCAGTGAAGACCCATATATTTTATTTATTGATTAAATTTCTATATCGCCTTTCATCCAAGGATCACAGGGCAGTTCACAAGTGACCCAAACATATGATTCTAACAGTGAAGCAAACTATTCTTTACTGATGCTTCATGTTATTACCTCCTCAGATGAGATAATGTCTTGAGGGAACAGGCAGATCGAGAATGAGCCACTCCTATTACCTTTTCTATCGTTGTTGCAGACAAGAAGTTTACTGCTGCTAGGGGACAACTGTTTTTGACTCACAACCTCTTTGACTCAATATTAGTTATTGCTCTAATGGCCTTATGACCGGTGCTCCACAGTATTGAAAATCCATACTCTTTAAGTCTGTTGTCACTGAGAGCAATTAATTTCGTTTATTCTCTGGAGGTGGTTCAAAATGAAGACAGCCTTACTCATGCCCCACCTGCAAAGAGGAAAAATCAGTATGCGGCACTGGCTCCCAACTCTGCCTGCGATGATAAAGCAACCCAGCATCAGAATCCCAAAGGCAAAGCCCTGGTTTCCTTATCCTTGCACTATTTTCCATATGGCCTTATCAACCTACGTAGATGTTACAGTATACCTACAGTGAATGAGAGAAAGGATGCCTGCCGACAACAGTGCTTTTATTGACATAAGCATTCATTTCCCGTAAGTAAACACAAATAAATGAAAACATTTCAGAGATGCTTCTGACATGTTTTACATATTTGCAAAATGGGGCACCTGCCTCATTTGGGACAGGCAAGAGGTATATCTTCAAAAGTTGTACACTGTTTGCCAACCCTAACACTAATCCTATAACCCTTTACATGCACAAAGTCCATATTCAGTCCCAGGTATTATCTAACTAGGACTGGGAAATATCCTCTTGCCGGATATTGCAAGTCTGTGTAAATAGTACTGAGATACATCAAGCACAAACGACAGCTTCCCATGTTGTACGTGCAGCAAGGAACACATGAATGTGCCTAATATCCCTTGGCGTGCATGAGACTTTTGGTGGGTGTTTATGCAAGTTTAGCAGCTGTTGCCTTCACAGCTCCATGCCTCTCCTGAGCAACAGAATAGAAAAAAATTATAGGATATGGACCACCACAATATAAAATGCATCATTTCTACAGGTGGTATAATTCAGGCACAGAAACTGGCACACAACTGGGGCTAGGTTGGTATAGAATAGCCTTCATTTTTAACAATTTCATTGTTTTTTCCTGCGTGGAAAGTAGACATCTCTTATCACAGAGCATTGTACCCAACAGAGCTGAAAAGTAGGATTAGTATACAGTACAAAGCATAGGTGGTGAACTGGAATGGAACTGGTTACCTGTTCAGCCAACAGTGAAGCGAGGCTGGAGTAAGCATCTGCAAAATCTGGTCCATACTGAATGGAATCTCTCAGTAAGACAACAGCTTCTTCTTTCTTCCCCCGGGACCTGTAAGTCATAGGAATTTGGATGGAGGAGAGAGAAGGCAGTTCTCTTAACAACTTTCTCAGCTCACCAATTGATTAAAAATACCGTTAACAGACTCGAAAGTGCCTGTCTTCTCCTTTTCAGAAAGGGCTAGATAATTAAATTTTCTTCTATCGAGCGTCTCCTGGGGCAATATCATATTGCACAGCCTGACAGCACAAAGAGGAGTGGGAGCAGCCACTGGATATGAGCTACGTTGTGGTGCCTTGGCACCTGCTGGCAACATTTTCTGTAGCCTGCTGGGCAGCACATGCAATCCCTACAAAAGCCCCTTCTCTCCCTTGTCAGCACTTCTTTCCATTTGCTATTGTATTGAATCTCCCAGGGAACCTGAGTGAAGCAAAAAAACCAGGCTGATGGAAAACTCAAAATACTGGAGGTGGGGGAATATGAGGATCTGTATAAGGAACTTTGTGGTTCTCACTGTGAATCGTGGAACCCAATCTTCTCAGTTTCTGACTGGTACTCCAGGAAGGAGGCAGAGGGAATCATTTTTCTCTACTTCTGAAACTCCACATAAACTAGAGATGCTTAGCAGTCTAATTTTACATGCTGGTTCTCCATATGTGTGCCAGCGTCATGCTGGGAGGAAGAGGACCGCAGTGAGCTGGGTTGGTGTCGTTAAAACATATAGCTAGTCAAATTGCACATTGCACATTTAAAGCAAATTTATATGGCTTCTCCCAAAGAATGCTGAGAACTGTAGTTCACCTGCCACAGAGCTACAATTCCCAGCGCCCACCACAGGCTACAGTTCTCAGGCTTCTTTGGGTATCTGGGGTTAAAACTAGACTTTATGACATATATGTGGCCGAAGTTGAAAATGACAGCCCTGTGCCACCTCCTCTCTCTTCTCTGTAACATTTTATTAATAAAGAATACAGTATTATTCTGAGAATGTGACTTTATCACGTGTTTTGTATTACGATATATATATGGGGGTGGGATGGATGTGTGGGTGGCTTGGGAATTTGTTAGATTTTGTTGATTTTGTAATTTTTGCAGTTGTTACTTGTATTGTTTTATTGTTTTCTGGGTTGTTTCTGTTTTTTGTTTTTATTGTTTTAAGGTTTTATTGTTTTAGGCTGCGAAAGAATAACACTAATTGCCATCAATGGAGGCTACTATGAGGCCTGGGATTGCTACCGTGGAGGGGCGAGGGAGGTATGGCGGTGGGGGCAGATGTTATAGGCGAAGGGGATCGAGATATGGATACGCTCGTACCCCTTCCAATCTGCGCCCCATCCCGAGGGACGAGGGTAGGGTGAGCAAGGATTACTCACCTCCGTCACTGGTGCTGTGCAATGCCAGGTCTATAGGCAATAAAACCGCCACCCTGCGAGATTTCTTTATCTCGCAGGGGGTCGACCTGGCTTGTGTGACGGAGACCTGGGTGCGCGAAGGGGCAACAGTTACCTTACGAGAGATGGCACCCCCGGGTTTCTCCGTCCTCCACCAGTTGCGGACTGTGGGCCGGGGGGGAGGGGTGCCATTATTAATCCGGGAAAATTGTCCTTTCAGGGCTCTACCACCGCCATCGATCCCCGGCATTGAATGTGTTGGCCTAGTGTGGGGCTCCGAGGAGAGCTTGGCTGTCTGGCTGGTGTACCGGCCACCTAGCGCACCAGCAGCCACCCTGTCAGGCCTATTGGAGGCGGTGGCCGGCTGGGCCTTGGAGTTCCCTAACCTATTGGTATTGGGGGACTTTAACATCCATGCTGATGCCACTCCCTCCTCACAGGCTCTGGACCTGGTGTCTTCCATGGCGACACTAGGGCTCTCCCAGTTTGTTTCGGGCCCCACACATCAAGCAGGCCACACGCTGGATTTGATCTTTGGCGCCGGTATAGATGTGATCATGTCTCCTTCAATGAAGGTGCCATGGTCTGATCACTACGCTCTGAAAGCCAGGATTGACTTTCCACCCCCACCCTGCTTAGGTGGCGAGCCGATTTGGGCTCGACCGCAGAGGCTGATGGACCCTGATAGATTCCGCCAAGCCTTGCGGGACCTTGCTCCCCCTGGCGACTCATTGACTGAGCTTGTTGAGGGCTGGAATACCCAGCTCCTGGCAGCCATCGATGAGATCGCACCTAAGCGCCCTCTGCGACCCCGCAGAAACCGGGCTCCATGGTTTACCGAGGAGCTCCGGAAAATGAAGCGGGACCTCAGACGGCTAGAGCGAGTATGGCGGGGTGCCCGTGACGGAGCCTCAAGAACATCTTATAGGGCTTTTATGAAAACCTACGAGATGGCGGTGAAGGCTGCTAAGAAGTCATACTTCTCGGCCTCCATTGCATCCGCTAGCTCTCGCCCAGCGCAATTATTTAGTATAATCAGGTCTTTAACGTCCCTTGAGGGACAGCCAAATTTAAATAACAATTTGACACATAGCTGTGAGGCATTTGCGAGCTTTTTTGCGGAGAAGGTCTTGTTGCTCCGCCATGACCTCCCTGCCAATTTGGATACAATAAAGGAACTGGAGGCCCCTCGACTGTCCTCGGCTCCAGTATTGGACCACTTCGACCGGATATCCCCAGCCGATGTGGACAGACTCCTCCGAGCTGGAAAGCCCACCACTTGTCCTCTTGACCCGTGCCCGTCTTGGCTGATTAGAGCGTGTCCAGACGAGGTGCGGGCCCTCCTGGGGGATATCATCAATTTGTCCCTTGGCACGGGGACATTCCCAGGGGAACTGAAGGAGGCAGTGGTGCGCCCGCTCTTAAAGAAAACATCATTAGATCCTTTAGATCTATCCAATTACCGCCCGGTTTCGAATCTTCCGTTCCTGGGTAAGGTGATTGAGAGAGCGGTTGCTGAACAGCTTGGTGGGTTTCTGGATGAAACATCGGCTCTGGATCCATTCCAGTCCGGCTTCCGCGCTGGTCATGGGACCGAGACGGCTCTGGTTGCCCTAACAGATGATCTTCGTAGACAGCTGGATCGAGGCGGGTCGGGGCTGCTGATTCTTCTAGATCTGTCAGCAGCTTTCGACATGGTCGATCATGAACTTCTGGACCACCGCCTTGCCGACGTGGGGATCCAGGGCACAGTCCTTCAATGGCTGCGCTCGTTTCTCTCTGGTCGGGGACAGAGGGTGGTGCTTGGGGGGGAATTGTCATCGCGCCACTCCTTGGTATGTGGAGTACCTCAGGGTGCGATACTCTCCCCGATGCTTTTCAACATCTTTATGCGCCCCCTCGCCCAGCTTGTTCGGAGTTTTGGGCTGGGTTGCCATCAGTATGCTGATGACACCCAACTCTATCTGTTGATGGATGGCCATCCTGACTCGGCCCCAGACACACTGACCAGATGTTTGGAAGCTGTGGCTGGATGGTTACGTGGGAGCCGGTTGAAGCTAAACCCTTCGAAGACAGAGGTCCTGTGGCTGGGACGGGGTGATATGGGATTGGGGGGCAACTCCCATCTCTTGCGGGGGTGCAATTAGTGCCAGCACCGTCCGTTAAGAGTTTGGGTGTAATCTTCGACACCTCCCTTTCCATGGAGTTGCAGATTGCAGCTATAACAAAGGCGGCATTTTTCCATCTCCGCCAAGCTAAGCAGTTGGCTCCTTACCTCTCTCGCCCTGACCTAGCCACTGTGATCCACGCGACGGTCACCTCCAGACTGGATTATTGTAACTCGCTCTACGTGGGGCTGCCCTTGAGACTGACCCAGAAACTCCAGCGGGTGCAGAATGCTGCAGCGAGACTCCTTACAAGGTCTTCGCTGCGAGATCACATTCACCCGGTGCTATACCAGCTGCACTGGCTCCCGGTGGAGTACTGGATCAGGTTTAAGGTGCTGGTTTTAACCTTTAAAGCCCTATACGGCTTAGGACCCTCGTACCTACGGGACCGCCTCTCCTGGTATGCCCCACAGAGAAACTTACGGTCTTCAAATAAAAACATCTTGAAGGTCCCAGGCCACAGAGAAGTTAGGCTGGCCTCAACGAGAGCCAAGGCCTTTTCGGCTGTGGCTCCGATCTGGTGGAACACTCTGTCACAAGAGACCAGGGCCCTGTGGGACTTGACATCTTTCCGCAGGGCCTGCAAGACAGAGCTGTTCCACCAGGCCTTTGGCAAGGGCACAGCCTGACTCCCTCCTTCGGCAATCTTCGCGGAGCTCTGGCCCAATGGCTGCCAGTGGCTTGAATTAATTAATTTTAGAATGAATGATTTTAGAGTGTTGTTTATGTTGTACTTTTGTACTGTTTTATTGTTGTTAGCCGCCCTGAGCCCGGCTAAGGCTGGGGAGGGCGGGATATAAATAAAATTTATTATTATTTATTATTATTATTACGATAGACATTACTGTGGGGGAGACACTGGGCAGCTGCTTTCGGAAGCAGATAGGCCTCTCTTGTGTCCTAGCCTCAGTACACCTGCAGCCGCCATTTCCTGCTTCAGAAGGAGTGAAACTGAAACAGAAAACATTGTGCCCAGCTATGCAAATAGGTCAACTTATATATATCACAGCCTATTGCATGTAAATCTGACAGCAAAGGAAAACCCGTTGAAAGTCATATACTGCCAAGTGCAAATGTTTAACCTGGGAGGGGAAAGTTTGCGGTTTCTTTCAGATGTTCATGCCAACCTTAGCTAACAGCTCCAGATGCTGGCGGAATATTGATGTACTGTGGAAAAAGGAGCTGGCAGGTCCGAAGCACGTTCAGTAATGACAAACCATAGTTTATTGTTACGATTAAATGCAGCTAGTGTCATTTTGATAAACGCTAACTCTACAAGGATCCGGTGTGGGATGCCTACCTTCTTTTGGCTTTCCACCTGTTCCAAGTTATTACTGTCCATAAATTCCACTGTGGTCCACCTTTTAAAAAATCAGCTGCAATATTTGCCTTCAGAATTGAAGTCCCTGAGAAGGGCAAGCTACAAATTGCTTAGTGAGACCTGGGCCTCCCGTGAATCAGCAGGAGACGGCTCAACAAATGAAAAGTTCCC